GCTGAGGATGATAATTTAGCAGTTAAAGGCTACATGTGATAATTTCCCTGGTAGCCTAAAAGTAGACCACCTGCAGCCCCAGGACAGTAGTCCTAAGACTTGCCTACCTTCGAGCTCCAGAGAAGGTTGGATTCTCACTTAGCCCTGGCAGGTGTGCTACCTCAAGTTCAAGGCCTTGGTCAGGGAGAGAGACCAGACCCTGAAATGTGGATTGGTGCATTTAAGTCTTGAATCCCAGGTATCCCTGGCACCTGCAGAATTGGCTTGCTCCACCCCCACATGCAAGAGGCTTCTGTCTTGAAAAGGAATATATGCCCCTCAGGAACTGCAGCCTCCTTCCCTCCTGGCCATTAAGTCAATATGACCTGGCTAGGAGGTACTGGGCCTGTTAAGGGAGTATGAATTTACAGGTCAGTCAGGGAACAGAACTATAGTAATTTGAACAGGGAACATTTAAAGAATTTTAAATAGTAGTGGGATTAGCTGCCAAGGAGTGAAGAGCAGTCTAAAGAATATGGTAATAGCTGACATGGGGAGCCGCTACCTAAGGTAGAGTGCTGAATGAAGGAACAAAATTAGACTTGGCCAGTTGATGTCCACCAGCCTCTGTCGTCTGCTGTCCCAGTACAGGCACCCAGGGCTCTTTAATGGAGTAACTGTGAGGCTGGGGTGGACGCTGTGTGTGGGCCCAACAGCATGGTGTTCTCCCTCACCAGGGCTGATCTAGCTGTTGTGTCACTGAATGTCCAACCTTCCAACACAGACCAAACGTGAGTCCCCAGTAGTACCACCCTCTGTGGAAAATAGTCCTTTACTGGCAAGTTGACAACACTGAACCCCCAAAGGTACAGAGATTGATCTGGACTGGAATGGACACGTGTTCCAGGCATGGGTTTGCAGGGCCTCAGTGAGCTCTGTTATCCAAGGCTCACAGAGTGTTCAGTCCACTGACACAGAATCCCGCTTAGAGTCATGTTAGACGTAGGGGTCCACTTTACAGCAGAGGGGCTGCAGTGGGTGTATGTTCGTGGGACTGAGCCTCCCTCACAGCCACACATCCGTAAACAGCAGCCTGATAGAGTGGTGGAGTGGCCTGTAGGAGGCACAGCTTGGGTGCCGGGGATGACGCCTGCAGTGATGGAGCAGGACGCTCCAGGGTGCAGTGTCCCACGTGTGTACAATTATGGGGTCTGGGAACCAAGAGGTGGAAGTAGGAGTGGCCATGCTTACCAACACCCTGGGTTCAGCAGGTTGTCCTGACTCCCTGAGATGCAACCCACCAGGGAAGGGCACAGGAAGATTACCATTCAATTCCAAGGTCCAGCTGCCACCCGGTCTTTTCAAATTCCTTATGCGAAGAGACAGGCAGGCAAGGAATGCCATCTCCATCCCACTCCAGATGAACCTCCTGGGCATAAGTTAGCGCTGTTATGTAATGGGGGTAGGGAAACATACTTGTCACCAAGGCGATACGATTGGTCACCTCTTGGTCCCCTGCCCAAATTGCACAGCACACACATCGGCCATGGCCTGAGCAAGGGCATGGTGATCAGGGGCTTACACCTCTCAGGGATGAGGGTTTGGTGACTCCATCAGTTGCTCAGCCAGGGCGAGGGGACCTTAAGATGGGTCGTAGAGAGGGAGGCAAATATTGTTTGCAACTGTGAGACCAGCTGCAGTGCCATTACCCCTCCTTTTAAAAGTTTCCTCCATTGCCCTAGCCGATTTGGCTCAGTGGTTAGAGTGTCGGCCTGAGGACTGAAGGATTCTGGATTTGATTCCGACCGAGGGCACATATCTTGTTTGCAGGCTCCATTCCCGCCTGGGTCATGCAGGAGGCAACCAAGCGATGTGTGTCTCTCACATCAATGTTTCTCTCTCTCTCCCCCACTCTCTCTGAAAAGCAATAGAAAAAAAATATCCTCAGGTGAGGGTTAAAAAAAAAAAGCTTCCTTCAGGAAGAAGGCCACCAGAATCCTCAAGTAGCAGCTCCAAAAGGCATCTGAACAAGTGGCTGTGAGCAGCAGGTAGTGAGCCTCAGTCTAGGACTGTAGTGAGCACTGGATGCCCAGCCTGTGTGGGAAACCAGTGCCCCAGGGACTGGGTCCTTGCTGGTGGACTGCTCACAACACAGCGTGTCCTGGTGACTGCCTCAGCTGCAAAGAGCTGCTTGGCTCAAGGACACATCACTTTCCCAGGAGCAACCAGTCCAATGACTGGTTGGTGCTGGGTATAAAGACCCAGCTTTCTAGACTCAACAGGGGACAACTCTGCAGGGCCATGTCAGCTCCAGAACAGGCCTTTGTAGTGACTGCATCTAGGCCCAGTCCTCCTTCCTTCACTCCCCTGCAGACTTCGATCCTGTTTGTTTTTGTGTTTTTGTGGGTTTTTTTTAAGGAGGACTCCCTAGCAGCCTTTCTGAACAGAAACTTTCATCTCCTAGGTGGCTGCCCGGGGTAACACCTGTGCCATTGTCCATGTATAACATACTCATGTACACTTATGGGGAGATTTGCTCACTGATTTTAAAAAAGGGATCAGCCCAGTTGGGCATGGCTCAGCGGTTGAGCATTGACCTAGGATCCAGGAGATCTTGGTTTGATTCCTGTTCAGGGCACATGCCCGGGTTGTAGGCTCTATCCCCAGTTGGGGCTGAGCAGGAGGCAGCCGACCAATGATGACTCCTTCATCATTGATGTTTCTCCCTCTCTCCCCCTCTCCCTTCCTCTCTGAAATCAATAAAAATATATTAAATAAATTAAAAATGGGATCATATTTTTACTGGTTTCTGCATCTTCAAGTCAACCGATAGAGCTCTAAGTACTTTTTTTCAAGGGTATGTGCTTCAGTGTGGGTGTTACACAGCTTATTCATCGACTTCCCTCTTGACTGGTATCTGCTTTGTTTTCAGTCCTTTGCCATAAAGCAGCACTGCCATAAATATTTCGATTTAAACCTGTTTACTGTTGCATATATTTCTATGAAGCAGAAAGCCGGGAGTGAGGTTGTTTGTTTAGATGATTTATATATTTTAAGTCTGTTTTTGTAATTGAGGTTACAGGTATGCATGTTTATACACACACACACACAGAGCACATCCTAAAGTTATAGCTCAAAATTTCACAAACTGAATACCCCTGTAACCTTCATCCAGATCAAGAAATAGAACATCAGTGGCACCCAAGAGGCCCATCTTTGCTCCCTTTGGATCAGTCCATTTCTTCCCAACTCCCAAAGGTGATGCATATGTTTTTAATTTTAGTAAGTGTTGACAGTTTTCTTTCCAAAAAGATTCTTACAGCAGATCCTCAACACAGTTTTGTTATCACTTTGATGAGGTGCCATAGGAATTTCAATCTTGTCTATAGCAATTAGCCTGTGGTAAAATTGGTCCCATTATATGTCTCTTTGCTTAAAGTCACAGAATCTATTGATTATGTTAAGTGAGGACTTACTGTATCCACATTTTTACCAGCAATGTATGGAACTCCCTATTCCAGTCCATCTCCAGTTATATTTAATGTTTATGTCCCTGACCGCTGGTGAGTTTGAGCATTGTATCATGCTTATTTGCTGTTTTGTGTATTGCCTCTTCCTGTCTTTTACTGCATTTTCTTTTGAGTTGTTTGCCTTTTTTTGTCCACGTGTAAGACTTGCTGTAGAACACAAGTATTAACCTTTTGTAGTCATTGCCCCGGGTAGTTTTCCCAATGTATTGTTTTCTTTTAGAAGTGCCGCTAGTTGTACCGTCCCTATTTCTCAGTCTGTCCTTTGCTGCTTAATTGAAACACCATCTTCGTTGTATACTCAAGTCTCATAAGTCTTGGGGTCAGTTTCTGGATTCTCTCTTCTGACCTAGGGATCTTTCCCTCTTTTCCTATTCAAGTACTGTGTGGATTTGATGACAGCAGCTTTATAGTATGTTCTGATAATCTGGCAAGGCAAGTCTTTTATTTTTGTAACTTTTCTTGTCTATTTTCATTTAACATTTCATATGTATTTTGACATTATTTTTTCAATTAAAAGAGCTTTGGACATTGAAACTGCATTAAGTTTGTGTTTGGAAGAATTAAACATTTTGTGTATATCCCAATGCTATGTTTTCCCATTTGTATAGATATTATTTTATGCGATTTCATAAGATTTTAAGTTTTAATGATTGAGTACCTTGTCCCTTTTTTTTTTTACAGGTTTTTAAAAGAAAATTGAATTTTTTAAAAAATGTGTTTTTATTGATTTCAGAGCGAGGAAGGAAGAGGGGGAGAGAGAGAGAAACATCAATGATGAAAATTGATGCACGCCCCTTGTTAGGATCGAGCCCGAAACCTGGGCATGTGCCCTGACTGGGAATTGAACCTGGATCTCCTGGATCCTAGGTTGATGCTCAACTGCTGAGCCATGCCGGCCGGGCACCTTGTCCCTTTCTTGTAAATTTATCCTAAGTATAACTTTTTTCTATTGTAAATGAAAGCATTCCTGCGTTTGCATTTCTTGGTGGTGGTTGTTGCTGTAGAGGGAACATATGTCACAGTGGCTATGAGCACAGACTCCTGAGTCCTGTTGCCTGAGGTTGGATCCAGATTCCATCACTTACTGTTCAACCCAGGCTTATTAAAATTAAGGCCACATTTAAATCAGAATTTTGTATTAATGATGTTCTACTGAATCTCTATTTGTTCCATCGCAATACTATTCAGCCTAAGAATTTCCTCAAACCTTTAATACTTACAGGGTTGCTTACAGGGGTTTTCAGAATCAAGTATTCAAATATAAATACCAGGTAGTGACGTTTAATAAACATTTCATGATTACATGGATCTGCCTCCAGTTAATTTGAAAACACTTTATATAAATTGTCATTACAATGGTAACAGGCATTTTGGTTGTGAATTTTATGGTGATGTTTTAAGTAAGTAAACAATGAGTAGATAGCACACTCATTATATGGCTCAGATGTCAGTGTTTCTTTACTGCCTCTCCTTTCTTTGTGCTTTTAAAAGCTGCGGACGTGGTTGGCAAGTCCAGTGCGAGGTGTTCAGCACTGCCTGAAGATGGGAGGGATCAAGCACTGGGAACAAAGGTAAGGCATTGCAAGTATGAGTAATTACAAACATAACCTTCATTTAGTCAGCAGGTTCTTATCAAGTGTCCGCTAGATGCTGGGCACTGTGGATACAGTGGTTTAGAAGGGGTGGTTACTGTTTATCAGGAGCTTTTGGGTTAATTCGTATGAGAGGAAGAGGAAGACAGGAGTACAGAGGGTCTCTACAGTAAATGGTGTGTTAAGTGCCGTGGGGGAGTCAGTTCCTAGTGCCCTGGGAACAGTGGGAGAGACAGCTAACTCAGGCTTTGTGCTGATGCAGTTTACCTCTTTTGGGTGGTAGGGAGGGGAGTCTGGGACCTCTTTCTTTCTTTTAACTGTGAAAATGTTACCTGAGTTGAGATCTAAAGGATCATTAGGAGATGGTCAGCCTCTATAGAGGTGGGGAAGGACTTCGAGAAAACTCATCAGTTTCAGGGGAGAGAGCTTGGAACTTTTGGGAGTGGAAATAAAAGAAATTCAGAAAGGGTATAAAATTCACCACGGGTGAGTTACATGGTTTGGGCTTGAGGGGAGAGAGAGAAGAGGTCATATCACCAAAGGTCTTGTATATGAAACAGTGGTGGAGGCAGCATGGTGGTTAAGGGAATGGACTGTGAATCAAATTACCTGTGTTAAAATCCCAGTCCAACTTAATGTAAACTTCCTGTAGTAAAACAGGACTTGTCCCTGGGTTGCTAGGATGATAATTTGCCCCTGAAGTGGAGAGAGAGGCACCTTTGACAGAAAAAGAACTACCAGCCTTTAGTAAGTGGATGGAAATGCTCTCTCCACGGTGTTCAAATGGTGCTTCCTGGATACCTGAGCCAGAGGTCTTCAAGCCTTTTTGTTTCCTTTCTCTCAAAATAATTTTGAAAATACATGTACCTTCTGACATTTTTAAGTTGACATTTAAAACATCACAAATTTTAAAAGTTTTGGACATGATTTCTGGTGTATTAATAATATTGACATTTTAAAACCTGTTACATCATCATTTAGAATATAGCCACTAAAATATAAATGCACACTGTACTCTGTTAACTTGATATCCATAATCATCCCTCAAAAAGTACTTCAGCAAGACATACTTCAACAATCTTAGTTTTTGTACTTTCCTTTCCCTGTGAACTCCTTTTCTTGTATACACCGCCACAGATTTTTAATGTCATATAATTTTATGTTTGAAAATCTTCTCTTGAAAACTTATTATAAATATTTCTCTGCAGTAAAAATGAATATAAATTAAAAATTTCTGTGACCCTATGACCGAGTGTTAAAACATTTTCTTTCAAAATTATTTAAAAGTACTGTTAATATACAGTTGTTCAAAACAGTATAAGTATATCATAAAAACTGAAAAATAGCCCGGCCGGATGTGGCTCAGCGGTTGAGTGTCGACCCAGGATCCAGGCGATCGGGGTTCGATTCCCAGTCAGGGCACATGCCCGGCTTGCGGGCTCGATCAGTGACTCATCACTGATGTTTCTGTCTCTCTCTCTCTCCCCCCTCCTTTCCTCTCTCTGAAATCAATAAAGATATATTTAAAAAAAACAACAAAAAAACCCCAAAAAACAAAACAAAAAAACCAACAAAACAAAACTGAAAAATAAACATTAAAAATGACGTTTTATTGTAAACGGGCCCTATAATGAAATGGATAGACACGACTCCCCTCCCCCCATTAGTCTGTGATTCTGTGAATGAATATTGCATACTGCTAGATGGAGACAGAAAGGATTGCTGCTGAGCCACATTTAAAAAAAAAATTTTAGCTTGGCCGGGCGTGGCTCAGTGGTTGAGCATCGACCTAGGATCCAGGCAATCGGGGTTCGATCCCCGGTCAGGGCACATGCCTGGGTTGCGGGCTTAATCAATGACTATCTCATCATTGATGTTTCTATCTTTCTCTCTCCCTCTCCTTTCCTCTCTCTGAAATCAATAAAGATATATTTTTAAAAAATTTTAGTAGATAAACATATCAAATAGTTGTGGCGATTTTATTTTCTCTGTAAATGGCCTTTACTTGGAAGCTATAAATTATTAACCTTCAGTCTTCTGCACATCCCCAACCTTCTCCCGTCCATGGCATCTCTCGGTATGTGCGCGATTCCAGCACGGGTGTGGTTGCAGACTTTTTGAACTCCTCCTGGTCCTGCCCATGATTCACATGTAGACTCCTGCCTGGGTTGAAAAGTGACTGCTCTGGGAGACAGTATATAAGTTCACTAGAAAGCTGGATCTAGATGATGTGAAGCTGTGTTCCCATTTTACCTTAGATGAGTTTTCTCAGAAATTAGTTTGGTGTATAGAGCTGTCTTATGAATCCAAATGCTAATGAAATATTTTCCATTTTCCCATAGGATCTTAATTCTTTCACAAGCCAGACATCAAGAGCGTCCATCAAACTCTCTTCTCAGTCCTCCAGTATCAGACTCACAGGTCAGCTGTCTGCTGACCAAAGACAGAACGTCAGCTCACTGGCTCCTTCCAGTTGTCTAATGCCGCAGTGTAACCAAGAGGCTTCAGTTCTACAGAGAAAGGAACATGAAAGAAAACATTTCCTAAAACAATACATAAATAATGAAAATAAAGAAAGCCTGAATCTTAAAAGAAAAGGAATGACATGTAATAATTCACCTGAGAAAATAAGTAAACATTCAGCGCTGAGAGAAGCTGATGAGGTGGAAGCCTCCCCAAATTCTGGGGACTTGAGAGAGTTCAGGAACCATTTGTGGGATGTCAGGTATTTGAATGATTTGGAGAAGAGCCAGCTGATTGAAACCCTCAAGCAGGCAGGAGCCCTGGTGGTAACTCTGATGTATAAGGATGGTTCCACCCAGCTAAGAGCTGACCAGGTTAGTAAACTGTGGTCTTTGTTTGATTTGTTTTTATGGCACCATAAAGGAAACCCAGTTTCTTAGTGTCCGATTTTGATGGGAGAGCTAGAAATAAGATTTTAAGCCTTCCCTTCTCCCCCAGTGTAAGATATTGATCATGCATTGTGGTTTATTATCTGTTTTTTAAGAAAGTGCCAAAATGTTTTCCAGAGTGTACGTTCCACCGGCAATACACAAGGGTTCTAAACTCAACCATCTCCTTGCCGGTTCTTGTTGTCTGTCTTTTTAAGCCATTGTGACAGGTGTGACGTTGTTTCATTGTGGTTGTAATTGCATTTCCCTGATAAGCGATGACATTGAGCATTTTCTCATGTGCTGAATGGCCATTTGTATATTTTCTTTGGTAAAATGTCCAAATATTTTGCTCATTTTTTTTAATTAAAAAAATTTTTTTAAAAATATATCTTTATTGATTTCAGAGAGAGGAAAGAAGAGGGAGAGAGACAGACAGAAACATCAATGATCAGAGAGTCATTGGGGATTGAGCCCGCAGCCCGGGCATGTGCCCTGACCGGGAATTGAACCTCCATCTCCTGGATCCTAGGTCGATGCTCAACCTCTGACCCATGCCCAGCTGGGCTTAAATTAAAAATTTTTAATGTTGACACTATTGCAGATGTCCCCCAATTTTCATCCCTTTGCCTGCCTCCACCACCCCGGGCTTTCACTCCATTGGCCTTTACCACACTGTTGTACATGTCCATGGGGTATGCGTATGTGTTCTTTAGCTAATCCCTTCACCTTTATGCAGTCATCCCAACCCTCCTCCCCTTTTGCACCCGCCAGTCTGTTCCATGTATCCATGCTTCTGGTTCCATTTTGTTCATCAGTTTCTTTTGTCCATTAGATTCCACCAAGAGCTATAACTATTAACTGAGATCATATGGTGTATTTATCTTTCTCTGACTAGCTTATTTCACTTAGCATAATACTCTCCAGGTCCATCCATGTTGTCCCCAAAGGGTAAGAGAATCTTTTTCTTCAGCTGCATGGTATTCCCTGGTGTAAATGTCCCACGGCTTTTTCCCCCACTCATCTGCTGATGGACACTTGGGCTGTTTCCAGATCTTGACTGTTGTAAATTACACTGCTATGAACATAAAGGAGCATATATTCTTTCTGATTAGTGTTTCTGGATTTTTAGTATATATTCCCAAAAGTGGGATCACTGGGTCAAAAGGCAGTTCCATTTTTAATTTTTTAAGGAAACTCTAAATTTGGATCTATAAGCCTTCTTTGTATATTCAGATATGAGTCTGTTGTCAGGTACATGATTTTTAATTCTCCAAATTGGTGGCTTCCCCCCACAATTTCTTAATGGTATCTTTTGATGCACAGAAGATTTTTAATTTGATGAACTCCAGTTTATCAATTTTTTTATTTTATTGCTTGTGCTTTTGTTGCTATATATAAGAATGCTTTGCTATCCCAGGTAATGAAGATTTACTCCTGTTTTCTCCAAAGAGTTTACAGCTTTAGCTCTTACATTTAAATCTGGGATCCATGTTGAGTTAATTTTTGTGTATGGTGTGAGATAGGCACAAATCCATCCTTTTGCATGTGAATATCTAGTTTTCCCAACACTGTTGGTTGAAAAGACTCTTCCTTCCCCATTGAATCTTGACACTTTTATTGAAAAGCAGCTGACTCTAAATGTAAGGGTTTATTTATGGACATTCAGTTTTTTCTATCGATCTAATTGTATATCCTTTATCCTTATACCAGGACCACACTGTCTTGATTACTTTAGCTTTGTAGTAAATTTTGAATTCAGAAAGTACGAGTCTTCTAACTTTGTCTTTTTCTAGATTGTATAGGTTATTCTGGCTCCTTTTCATTTCCATATTATAATCTTTAGGATCAGTTTGTCAATTTCTGCAAACATCCAGGTGGTTATTTTGATACAAATTGTGTTGAATCTATAGATTAATTTTGGGAGTTTTGCCATCTTAACAGAATTGAGTTTTCTGATCCATGAATGGGGGTGTGCTTTCATCTAGTTGAAATTTCGATTTCTTTTAACAGTGTTCTGTAGTTTTCAGTGTAGTATACAAATCTTGCTTTACCTTTGATTTTTTTTAACGATATTTTTGCTGGCTAAAGAATTATAAGTTGATAGTTTTTTTCTCAGTAACTTAAAGATGTTACTCTGCTGTCTTCTAACTTGCTGTTTCCACAGGAAATCTTCTGTCCTCCTTATTTTTGTTTCTAAGTAGTGTGTTTGCTCTTCTGGCTTCTTTTAAGGTTTTCTCTTCATTACTGGTTCTAAGCAATTTGGTTATTATGTGACTTGATGTAATATTCTTCATGTTTCTCATACTTGGGGTTTATTGATCATCTTGGTTCTACAGATTAACTTGGGAGAATTGACATTCTTTTTTTGGTGCCCCAGGTGGGACACAAATGACATTCTTATTATTTTGAGTTTTGTAATCCTTGAGCGTGGTATGTCTCTTAGTTGCTTAGGTTTCCTCTGATTTCTTTCACCAGTACTTTGTAGCTTTCAGCATAACACCCTGTGCTATTTTGTTGATTTCTAAGTATTTCATTTTTATGGAATAGTTATTAAAAACTATTTTTTATGCAAGTTCACTTTTACATATTTATTGCAGTGTATAGGAATGCAGTTGGTTTTAGTGTTTTGATCTTATATCCTGCAACCTTGCTAAGTTTTTCTGTAAATTCCTTTAGGTTTTCTATGCAGACATTTGTATCATCTGAAAATAGAGACAGTGTAATTCTTCCCTTCTGATTTATATGTCTTTTATTTCTTTTTTCCTGTTGTATTGCATTGGCTAAGACTTCTACTATGATGTTGAATAGGAAGGAGACCAGATTTGGAGAGTAAGATCATCCGTTTGGTGTTTGGCCTTGATTGTTATTAAAGAGCTGTTCATTTAAAAATTTAATTTTAGGCCCTTTCTGTCTTTTTAATGATAAAACATGACATCTTTCTTGAATAAACATTGTCTGTGTTTAATATTGAAACTTTCATTGTATTCACAGGCTCCAGTTTCCTCTGTTAAAGGAGTTGTGATGTTAGTACAGAGACACTCAGGAGAAGGCAGCAGTTCTCTGGGTGCCTCAGCCTCTGTCCAGGTTCTGGAGGAAGGCTTTGTGCCCCATGGTCGGTGCATCTACATAAAAACAGAGCACTCTGCTATCTGGAGCCAAGAGCAAGAGGCACACAATCAGTTTGCCAGGTAAGAACTTTTCACTCATTACCTTAAAATCTACTTACATGCCTGATTTATCCCAATTAAAGTTTCCCAAGCTTCAATTTTAATTATTTAAACTTTTAGACATTCCATATGGGTCCATGAAAGTAAAATGGATCTAAATGACAGAAACCTCTAAACACTGATCCTCTCTCCCCAAGAGAACGTCCATGGGAACCTGCTCCAGGATTTGAATCAACATCTCAATGAGAAGTTGGTGAGAAAAGCGTCATCCCCAGGCCTGAAAACCCACTGTCACTGCCAATATCCCAGATGATTCTCCTCCTCACACTGGGTCACTCAGTGACAGCATTAGGAAATGAGGTCACCGCCTTCAGACAGTAAATTGTCCTCAATACCACCAAGATACTGCTCGTTTCAAAGCTCCATTCTGTGAAAATAGATAAGACAGGCCTCCCTTGGGCCTACCTTCTTGGGATCCTAGAATTTTAGCCCAGACAGGGGTGCTTCTGTTCCCCCCTCGATCCTGAGAAATCCTTTTGGGGCTTGGAGCCTGTGCCCTCATCCCTGTTTCTTTGCTGGTGGTATCAGCCTGACTGGGGGTTCTACCTTGGGTGGGGACATCTACTTCCCGTGTGCCCAGCCCTCTGAGTTCAGGGTCAGTTAGCTGCCCTGAAGGAGCTCCATGAAGCTGCTGCCCTGAAGAGGAGTTTGAGGAGGCTCAGGGTAAGAAGGTGGGGTCTGGTCCCGGCCCTTCCTCTAACACAATCTCACTGGGCTCTGGATGAGTTTTAGGTCATTGCTGTGGGAGTATCAGCCTATTGATAGTGACACTCTCTGCCAGGAATGTCTGAGGCGCTCTCCCCAGCCTGCATTCCATGGAGGGAGCCTCCACAGACATTTCTCCACAAGGACCAACGCTGTGGCTGGACAGGCCCCTGTGGTTCTTACTGTGATCACAGGACACACTTCAGCAAATACTACCTGGGAACTTTGAGGAACAAAATTTATTATTCATAGGTCCTGGAAGATACATGGCATGCCCCAGGGCCACCCAGCGAGGCTGTGTGTGTGATGGGGAGAGAGGGAAAGCATGGGCCCAGGGCTCTGCCTTTACTATAGGCTGAGGTTGGGGTGCCTAGGATTTCGAGGGTGCGCTCTTTACTGGCTGATTTAAGGCCTAAGACTGGGGATTAGGGTGTGGGAAGGGAAAGGCGGGTCACTCAAGTGGTCAGTTACCTAGGTTACCCAGGGCTTTCTGCATGAGGGACCTTCATGGGTGGGGGTGGCCTAGCTCCTTATGTGGCTGATTTGCTAGTAGCTGTGTCACGTAGCTGGCCACACGTCTATTCAAGATAGGTATCTTTGGAAATGGACACCTTGACAATCTAAAGAAAATGTCAGGCACTTACACTATAGCAATTTCTAGTGAGAGTGGGACAGTGACAGATATCACACTCTGCTCCCAAGAAACCCATAACCTTCCCTTTATATAATTTTCTTTTGAAAGAGCCATCAGTCAGGTCCCTCCTATGGAAGACCTCTGTGAGAATGCAGTCACGTATTTAGATGGCCTGTTCTGAATCCTGGATTTACACATTCTACTGGACATTCTCCACTTTGCACATGTAATAGTCACTTCAGCCTCGACCTGTGCAGAACTGAGCTCCTATCTTCCCTGAAGCCTGCCTGCTGCAGCCTCTACCATCCTAGTTAACAGCAGCATTAGCCCTCCGGGAGCTCAGGCAGGAGTCTTGGCATTATCTTCAATGTCTCTCTCGTACTACACAAGGGAATCCCATTGGCTCTGCATTCAGAATATAGGTAGACTTTGACCCCTCTCACCCCTCTGCTGCCATTTGGTGCAGGCCTTTACCTCCTGACTGAGTCCCTGCAAGAGCTTCCGGGCTGGTCTCCCGCCTCCACCTGCCCCTTCAGGCTGTTTTTAGCACAGCACCCGGAGAGGTCCTGTTCAAACGTAAATCAGGTCAGGTCTCTGCCCCGCTCTGAACCCTCTGACAGCTTCTGCTTCGTCTGAAGGAAAGCCAGAGCTCCCACAAGAGCCCTGCAGGTCTGCCTGCCAGCCCCTCCACTGTCTTGGACCTCATCTGCTATCCCTGCACCCCGGCTCCCTTGCAGTTCCCGAGTGCAGGAGCCGCCGGCCATGGCCTCGATCCGCTGCCCCTCTCCTGCAGTGTCCTCCCAGATAGCTGCACGATCAGCCACCTCTTTCCTTTATGCTTTTTTAAACACAAAAAGCAAATTATGAAAACGCAAAAGCAGGAAGAGTAGTGTAATGTGCCCATATCCTGTTCACCCAGACCAGTTATCCAAACAGAAGGAGAGGGACAGGGGGCTGGGATTAAGGAAAATTCCAGACATGTCATTTTACATCACACGTCTCAGGATGGAGCTCTAAACACGTGGGCTTTTTGTCACCTAGCCACAATGCCATTCTCAGACTTTAATACCCAGTCCAAACTTAAAGTCACCTGATTGTTTCAGAAATGTCTTTCTACACTTGATTTATTGGGCTCAGGACCAACAAGGTTCACACGTGACATTCAGAGGTCATACTTCTTCGGTCTCTTCCAGCGAGTGCACCCTCTGACCCCTCACCCCGTGGTGCACAAGGTCCCACACCGTGGGGTTTTTTACTTGTCCTCCTTTCTCTCCAATTCTCTGTGAACTGGAGCTTAGTTCCAGAGGCTGATGGTTTAGGTCCACCTTTTTCACAAGAACAGTTGCCTTTGTGGTGGTGTGTGCTTCCCATTGCATGTGTAATGAAGATGGGTGGTGAGATTTAGTAAATAAAAGTGCGGAATGCTAAATTTGAATTTCAGATAAGCAGTTCCTTTTACTATTATTATGTCTCAGATATTGCTTGGGACATTCCTACACTGAAGGAATACATCTCCGATAATGTTTGTGCTTTTTCGGATGTAAGTTATTTCCTGTTTTTCTGAGTTTCAAGTTTAACTGGGTGTCCTGTGCTCTTCCTGGCCACCGTTTGGGATGCGGTTGCCTTGTCTCAATATCTGTGAAGCTGACAGAGTTGTGGGTCAGGTGGTGTCAATGCGACCCCTCCATCGTGACCTTCCCACCAGACTGTCCCTTCATGGTTTGTTGATGAGGGTCATCGGAATCTCTCTCTAATTCTGGCTTGAGGAGGGTAAGTTCCTAACTATCATTTCTCCACATTGCGTTTGTTCCTGTTTGGATATGGGGCTCTGACACTTACGAGCACATTTACTGGTTAAATTCTTTTGTAGAGAATTTTCTCTCATCAACTAGGCTTTTGGTTCACTCTATCCTTCAAGTCTTTACTCAAGTGTTACCTGTCCCAGGGTCCTCCCTGGCCACCCAGCAGCCCACACGTTCCCTCTCTCCTTTCCCTACTTTGTAGCTCTCCGAGATGCCACCAGTATCATTCTGTGTGTCTTGTCTGTTTGTTTTCATTTACTGTTTGTCTATCCTGAAAGCTCTCTGAAGGCAGGGATTCTTATGTTTTGTTTATTTTTGTGTTTCCACAGCCAAGAACAATGCCACAGAACATTGCTTGATAAATATTTAATCAATACTGTTAGTGAATGAGCATTGAGGCTTAATTTTTATAAGTTCCAGGACAGTTATGTTAAGACATTGCCTTAAGTACCACACAGCTGGAAATAATGATCCCAGCTCTCCGATAGCATCTTTGAGATTCAAAATGAATTTAAATAAATAATGTTTGCACAAAACATATTTAATAACAGTTATTAAACATCTGTGCATGGTCTTGGCACATACATGCCCTCTCTTCATCTTAACACTAACTGTGTGTTAGGCCTTATTGTTTCCATTCTACAGATAAGGAAACTGAGACTGAGAGGTAGCCATGGATCAGTCTTGAGATGTCTACTCAAGGCTCCATTTCTGCACGCAGGTCTGGCCTCTTCATAGTCTAGCTGCCTTTTTGTTTTGCAGAGGTGACATGACCGACTTATATAACTGACTTATGAAACACACTGTGCTTTAGCCACTTTGTCTTATAAGATATTCTTTTAGTTGTCTCGAGATAGAAATCCTTGAGCCTGCATCTCTTGTCAGTGGAGCTGGTGTAGTTAGTGGATGACCTTCTGAGGGCTTCCAAGTTTCCAGTGTGTGGGAGCATCAGAGTGAAAGGAAGCTCAGTGCCCAGCTCTGCTTTCAAGGGCGTAAGCTCTCCCCTTCTCCCCTCTTCTCTCTCCTTTTCCCCTCTCTCCTCCTTCCTCCCGGGCACCCCTCCCAGGTCCCATGGAGCCAGACCTGAGCTGTGCTGTTGGCACTTTGCCCTCCCTTTCGTCCTGGCCCCTCTTCAAGAGAAACCAAGGTGAAATGCACAGGAAATGCAAAAAACCTAAGAATGTCTGTCTGTGAGGCAGCCAAGCAAAATGTAACTATACGTTGGCTCAGTGTGCAGAGCTTTTAAACTCCTGGTTTCTTTCTTCCTCAGCCTGTCCAAAGACCTTCCCTAAGTATTAACACGCAGTCACTGGAAAGAAAGGCTTATAGCGTGGGCCTGGGCACAGCAAGACTGGGTCTCAGACCTCAGCTTTGTCACTTGCCGGTTGTTTACCCACTCTGGACCTCAGTTTCGTTATCTGCAAAGTGGGTCTCGTGCGTGCCTGAGGGACTGTGACAAGGTTTCAGTGAAGCAGTCCTTGTCCTTGTGAAGTGTGTAGTGTGCCATCTGCATGTGGAGAGTGTTCAATAAACAAGAACTGTTAGCAGCCGCCCATTCAGGAGCTCATGATGCAGTGGGGAGAGTGAAGCTTCAAGGTGAACTGCAGCACAGCAGGCGTCGTCCCCGCTGTAGCAGATGTGTGGGCAGGAGTGGAGAAGGAACACAGGACGGGGCCGCTTCCTGCCTGGGGAATCTGTCCATACCCTCCTGAGAACAGCCCTTGAGCAGTTTGTGGAAATTGTGGCAGGAGGATTTTAGGCAGAAATGGTGTGTTCAGTGGCTCTGGAGTGTGAGAGGGTGCAGCAGAGTCCGGTGATGGAGGAAAGAGAGCTCAGTGTGAGCCCAGGGGAGGGTGTGCGGAGGGTGTGCTGGGTGGCTGTAAGGACTCCAGCCTGTGTGTGCTCTGCTCGGGAAGTTGGGTCTTTGTCTGTAGGTAGTGGGGCTTTGCCTGAACTGCTGTGTGACCTTGGGTTCATCACGGAGCCTCTGTGTCTCAGCTTTATCATCCGTAAAACACAGATAATTAGTAATACCTACCTCACAGGACGTCTGCAACCTGGTTCTGTGTAGTGGTAGCTGTTGGTGGAGTGGCACTAATATTTTCCCTAACATTTTGACTAATATGGTCAAAAGGTCATGATTAGTGTCTAAGTCAGTGAATTTCTTTTTGTCTTCTAGGAACATGCTGTTTCAAATATTGAAGTGTAACTGTCCTGTTATTTGTTTCAATGCTAAGGATTTTGTGAGGACAGTGCTGCAGTTTTTTGGTGGTGATGGCAGTTGGAAGCATGGTAAGTTATCGCTGATGGGGTGGAAGTATGAGAGGCCCAGGGCTTGGGACTGGTGCCTGGAGCGGGAACCATCTTGTGGGGCTGGGCCCTGAATCTGCGGGGTCTGCACCAACTCCGGTGGTGTCAGAACTGAAGTGAATTGTTGGACCTGGCTGGTGCCCACAGAGAACTGGGGAAGTGTGGCATGGAACCCACACAGCCGATGTCAGAGGTGGTGCTGGGAAAGAGCAGAACACCGTCTCCCACTTTCAACAGTTAACCCTGTTTCCAGCCTTCTCTCCTCTAACAGCCCACATTTCCAAAGCCCCACACCAGGTCATTTATAGCAAATCCCAGGCATCCTATGAATGAATCTGTGAGTATTTCAATTATATGACTAAAATACGAGGATTTCATTTCTAAGATGATACTGTCATCGTTATCACCCCCCAAATTACCAGTCTTTTGATATTGTTAGATACCCAGTCAGTATTTGCACATCCCAGCCGTCCTTGCGTGTTTTTGCCTGTCTTTGTTTTCTGCAGTTTGTTTGAATTGAGAGCCGTACCTGGGATAGGTGCGATGCGTTTCTTAAACCTCCTCTAACTTGCATGCTCTTTCCCTCTGTTACGTGTCCTTGCAGTTACTTTGCTGTTGTTGATGGAACAAGCTTGCGTGTCCCGTGGGGTTTCCCACAGTCTGGGCTTTGCGATTACATCCCCTCCTTGCCAAATGGCATGCTCTCCTCTCTCCTCCCTTTCTTGTAAATTGGCAGCTAGATCCATAGGCTGGATCAGATTCATGCTGGATTTCGGGAGGGTGAGGCTGCTTCGTGGCCCTCACCTTGGCCCTGACCCTGACCCTGACCCTAACCTAACCCTAAGTGGTGGTGTGTCCTCTCTTGGGAGCTGCATCATGTTGGTGGTTTATCTTTTTTGTGATGTTTGAACTCATATTTCATATGTTTACTCTTCTTGTCTGTCTTTGATATTTAGCACTTTGTGTAGAATCTATTGTCAATCTCCTCGCTTCTTTTTTACTTAAAAAATTCCTCTTTTCCATTTTTTTTTACTTAAGGCATTATCTATTACATTTATCTGCTTTTGTATACGTATTGCTAGTTTCTGGTTCTGAAATATTTGTATTTCTAAAATTTTTCTTGGTTTTATTTCCCTTACCTGAATTCTTTCATTTCTTTGTTCAATATTTCTTTTTCTAGGTCACCTAATTTCTAAGTATTTCTAATTCTGACTCACTTATTTTTCATAGATTTTATTATTTTCTTAATTTTTCTTAGCTCGTTTAAAATCTGTGTTCTTGGCATTTCTTTTTCAACTCCTGGCATTTCCTTCCTAGTGTGGAGTTCGTCCTGGCAGGCTTCAATTCATTAGTTACAAGAGTCTATAGGGACCAGCCCCAGACTGTAACAGCACTGCCAAACTTTCCCCAAGGAGTTTCAGAAATATATGTTGATAAGAACCCTTTTTCTTGGAGCATCAGAGCTTTGAAAAGACAAATAGAATGAAAAAGCTCTATGGGGTCACTCAGCGTCACCAGACAATGTGAGGTAAAGTCATGCGTAGCTGGCTTGGGAGGCAGGCAGGCAACACAACTGCCGACTTTCGACTTTCTATTGTCCAGAGTTCAGATCTGCCAACATGTAAGAGACTCCCCAGGCAGCCAACAAAAAGTCAGGATACTGGCTGCTTTGGTAAATATAAATCTCTCAGACCAGCATAATGTGTCAATGCCAGGAGATGTGATATTTAGTGCGATGTGATCTAAAACTATGGTTTGTTTAAAGGCAAACTCCTTGTTTTTGTAGAGCACAATTCAAAATGTTGAAGGAACTTGAAAGGCAGTCACGTAGGGTTCAGATTTATTTCTTAATATAGCAGCTCCCCAGCCTTGTATAACTACCCCTTTGTATCTAAAATACTCTGCTACTGCCCTGGCCGGTTTGGCTCAGTGGTTAGAGCATCAGCCCACAGACTGAAGGGTCCTGGGTTTGATTTCGGCCAAGGGCACGTACCTCAGTTACAGGCTCTGCCCCAGTCAGGGTGTGAGCAGGAGGCAACACGTCTGTCATGCTGATGTCCTGTCCCGTCCCATGCCCCCCCCCCACTTCCCCCCTCCACTCTTTCTGAGAAAGCAATGGAAAAGTCCTCGGGTAAAGATTTTTTAAAAATTAAATTAAATACTCCGGTACTAAAATGTACCTATTGAGCAAGTATCATTATTCTTAAAAAAGCACCTTCATGTCTCACACATACACACAGCACTCTTTTTGCCCTGTTTTCAGGTGAGAAAGCTAACACTTGGGGGGACATGACCTCCAGGCTTGCAGGCTGGTCTCGCTGCTCTTGTCACACATCTAGCTGTCTCACAGGTTGTCCTCGTGGCAGGGCCCAAAGTGTCTAGTGCCTTGCCTTTGCACACCCTGTCCGCCCTCCCCAGAGCTCGATGCTGTGAGCTTAGGCCACTCCTTACCACTCTGCCTTCTGCCCATGATGCCTAGGTTCCTGAACACCCTGATGCAATGCGGGGTCAGGGGTGGCCTGGGAAGGCAGCCCAGTGAAGGCTGAAGAGGGGAGGACTTGGAAAGAGTGATCATGTTGACAAACGCCATTGAGAAGCAGGGAAAGGGGGAGCAGGAGAGGTGCCTGGGGCAGTGAGAGGCTTGGGATCGGGAGAGAAAGGGAAAGAGGGAGGCAGGAAGTGTGGCTGAGGACTCTGACTTTGGTCTATTTTAACATTTTGAGAGATCCAGAATCCAACTTTGGAATTTCAACTCCTTTGGGGTATTTGGGATCAGTTCCCACGGAGATTGGCCTTGGGGGCCTGGGTTTGTGGAGGCCACTTATCAGAGGTTCAAAATTCCTTGCTTAGTATTGACAGAGCATCTCTTGGTGCTCAGCTCTGTAGCCGGAGGGGATGGTAATGCTGTGATCATTGATTTGAACTTTGAGATCCTTGTAAGAGCAGAGGAAGTGCAATTCCCCGTCATCTTACAGTGGTTACACGAGCTCTTTCTCTGCAGCTGCTGGTTTTGTGGGGCTGGACCCCAGAATTGCTGCGTGGCTCATAGATCCTAGCGACGCTGCCCCCTCTTTTGAGGATTTAGTGGCGAAATACTTTGGAAACTCCATCACGGTTAAAGTGAGCAGCACATACGGAAATTCCTCAAGAGCCACTGTGGTGAGTTGTTTTAAGATAAGACTTTACCAACCTTAGTACCACCCTAATTTTTCTCTAGATACTCTATTTCAGAGACCGTATGACAGTAAAAAGAATGTTGCCAGTATTCATTTCTACTTACTCTGCAAAAATGCTTTTGCCCTGACATTTCTGGTAGACGTGAGTGAGGGCAGGTGATTTCTGCTCCTTCGTGAGGCTGCCTGGGGAATCCCATTCACTCCCGCTCTTCCAAACGGACCTCTCGGGCATCAGAGTCGCCTGCTCCGTGAGCAGAGCTGCTTGTTTATAAATTCTGTGTGCCAGTGATGCGGCAGCTACAGCAGAGGACCTGGGACAGCCACAGCAGGGGCCTGGGACAGCCACTGTTAGTCCACAGCCGCCTTCTGGAGATGCACCCGATTGTGAGGAACCACCGTCTGGACAAGCAAGGGTTCTCGCAGCTCCGGAACCCTGCCTGGGGCCCAGCGAGAGGGAGATAGACATGGCCCCACAGCAGGCGTCCCAGTGGGAGCAGCAGGGGCCACAATGGGGCCACTCGTTTTAGGCCTCCTTGATGGAAGTTAACAGCTGCAGGACAAAACACGACTAGAAGAACACGCTGAGGGCAGAGGGCCACCTGGGAAGCAGAGCAGGTGGCGATGTGAGCCTGCCATGCCTGTCACCCCAAGCTGGGGGTGTTCGCTTCCTGCCCTTCATTTCACAGACTGTCTGCGTCTCAGAGGGGCTTGGGGTTGAAATAGAGAAGGTCACTGTCCCTTAATTTGAAAGATTTGTCAGAGGGATATGGGGTGGTGCACAGACTCTGAGGAAGAGCAGAACCAGGCCTTGGGGAGCCAGGAGCCAGGTCACTCTGAGGACCCAGGGAGCAGGAGCCACAGGCCCAGGTCATCAATGAACCAGGACCTATCAGTCATGTGTCCCTTTTGTCACTGTGTCACATGTTTGCCCCTTGGAGGGGAGGAAGGAGGGGCATGAGGTTAGCAGTACTCCCCAGATTCCCCAAGCACGAGCTAAGATCTTAGCACTGAGAGGAGTTGTCCACCTTGGTCTCATCAGTCCCAGTGCACAGGCGAGAAACCGGAGTTAGAGAAAGGTGAACACACACGCCTTGCCCAGGGTCAAGCTGAGGCCATGGCTCAAAGTTTGGATCTCTGACTCTAAAGTCTAGCTTCTTTCTAGTATAACGTATGAGTTAGGGGTGGGAGTGGCTGCAGGGAACAAAGCACCCCCTCAGAGGGCCTGCCTTCTCCCTGACCAGTGCTGTGGGGCTGGTCCTCTCAGCCGCCTTCAGGCCCGTGCCCTCGGTTCCCACTGGGAGCTACCCCCAAGGCCTCATCCACACCAGCCTCGCAGGAGCTTCCTGTGTCTCTTACTGTCCAGCCACGTGGCCACTGTGGAGGCCTGCACTGCAGGCGGGTGGGGATGAAGGGGCCACTGTGTGCTGCTCTGAGGGGCTGTGGGGAGTTCAGGAAGGGGAAGGGGACTCTGGGGAGGGGGCAGCATGGAAGCAGTCCAGAATCAGGAGGTAGTGACTTCTGTGGGGGAGCAGCAAGACCACGGCGTGAGGAAGAGGAGGAGGTGCGGGGCTGGGCCACCAAGGAGCCTGACCTTGCCCTGGAAGCTTCAGGCTGGAGAACTGTTCGGAGTGGGAGCGCCTGGTCGGCGGTTGTGTGGAAAGCTCATGCAGACAGCAGAGTGGCCACCATGGGTGCGCTCATAGTTCCTCCTCCCGGGTCATTCATGGGGAGCGGAGCCCAGGCTGGCAAGAAAACATGCTGGTGTGTGTGCAGCCAGCCCTGCCTCCTGTGTGGGACTGGTCTCTACCATGGGGCCTTGAGCAGAGAACCAAGCCTGACTGCCTAGGGTCTGGGCGGTGGCAGGGAGTGAGAGTTAGACTGAGGGGCAGGCGGCTGTGGCTCATCCCACCAGCCTGTCAGTTGAACACAGACCCTGGTTGTCCCCTCCCAGGCCCCTGTGTGTGGTCCAGGGTGGGAATGGATGGTGAGTAGAGGGTGGTGGCCTGGCCATGGCCTGGTTCCTCTGCCCACTCGTGGGTGGAGGCTGTGGGAGCCCAGAGGCCAGGTCCATGTCCTTCTGTCTCTGCCACCATGTGATAATTTTTGCACATTGGGCACTTGGCTTCTCTGTGGCCCATTGCTTATAGAGTGAGGGAGACACTGGGTTGAGGAGAAAGTGTCAGGCAACAGGTGGCTTGCATGTGCCCACTAAGAAGTACATTCCTTAGCACGGAATCCCTCTACCTGACGTGACTGCGACGCCACAGATGTGTGGTATCTGCCAGGGGAAGACACGTGTGACCGAGCTAGTACACAGTCCTCCCTAGAGTGTGACGATCGTTGGGGCCAAGCTTGACTAATTTTTAATTCTTTTGATCTTTTAAAGAATCAGAACGTGTGTGCAAACCTGAAGATACTCTACCAGCTTACGATGTACCTTTGCTCTCAGCTGAAGGCAAGCATTTTATAGCTCCTGGTGAGCGGGCACTCGCACTCTCGGCTCGTCTAGCCGTCTGTCACTTGCATTCATACTCACAGGGAGCGAGGCGTGCGGTGTCTCGAATGTGCAGGAAATGAAACATTGGGTTCTGAGGCCGAGTTAACCTCCACCGCTCATAAAACAGTAGTCCAGGTGATAAGACCTGAAGTTTTAATAAGTTTTCCATAGGTTGACGATACCTATAACATTTGCTGGACTTTGCTGATACTGCAGCAAACATGAAAGCTGAGGGTGACTTCAGCCAGTGGTGAAGTGGACACAGCTCCTCTCAGTCTCATGGGGAAGCTGGGGGCGGTTGGTCAAGAAGAGCTGAGCTGAATGAAGGGATTGTGTGCAAGGCGAGGGCAGGGCTGAGGGGCCCGGATGGAGAGGCCTCCAGGGATAGGCGCTGACTCGGAGCTTCTCCCCACTGGGCTTGAAGGGCCTGGTGCCAGGGCCTGGGAGAGCGGTGTCCCTGCAGGGGCTGCTGGTCAGGAGAGGAGCCCCACTTCTCTCCCCCCTGGTGCCCAGGAGCAGAGGAGCCCAGCGATGCTACCTGGAGGGTGTCCGCAGGGCAGAGAAGGGGTCTGAGGGGCAGGTCGAGAACAGGAGGGCGTGGGAGAACGTACAAGGCCAGGCGAGGATAGAAGAGATGGAGGCTCAGAAAGAGCGGGATCCTGCTGCAGGTGGGCGTGGCCCAATATGAAGGTTTCCCTTCTCCCACTAATCCAAGAAGTCAGTGCAAAATCAGTGAAAATTCAAGTCAGATTTTTGGGAATTCAGTTAGCCTATTCTGAAATTAAAGTAAACCACTAAAAGTCCACAGATACATAAATCACACGTAAAAGCGAGAAAGATTGAAGAACATTGGGCGGGGCAGGAGAGGAGTGGCTGTTAGGTGGGCAGCCAGCCCGTCCTCGAGGCAGTGCCTGAGTTCCGGCTCCGCGAAGTCAGGAGGATGTTAGCAAAGTGTGGGTGGAAATATCGCTTAAAAGTAACAGATTTCTCCCTATGAAGCAGGTTCATGGTTTGTGGCAGCTGTTTTGTACTTTGGAGCTTCCTCTGATACCAATTTTGGCAGGTAAGCTACCACAGAGACGACATGCAGTCACCTTTCTAGAGGATTCTCTATGTTGCTTGGTAACCCCTGTTTCTCTTAACTTACTTAGGGACAGGTGGAGTATCACCTGGGTACCCAAGAGGTAGCCCTTTATTTTCCCTTTTCCTAACAAGGGGGCTGGACCACATCGTCTCTTGCTGTAGAGGGGCCAGAAGGTTCTGGCATTTTGGTCACATGGAATCTGTTCTGTTCTGTCTGGATCTGGGTGCCCTGGCCCAGGGACCTCCGCCCTCCTGACTCCCTGGCTCCCTAGAGCAGCAGTGTGGGGGCAGGCCTGTCTGAATGTTGTACTTGTTAGCAGTTTGGGGTCCTGGTGTGCTGTCCTTTAACCCTTCATGAAACCCCCCCAGAGGAACTGCTGCAGGGCTCTCCTCTGCTGGCCTCTCAGCTCCCACTCTGCCCAGGTCCTGCTGGGTGCAGGACAGCAGATCCTGGCTCAGCTCCCTCAACTAGCAGGGGCAGCTTTCCATCCAGAGTGTAGTTGGCCATTGCATGTCCCCACACCCACTGCCACTACTGCCGGCCCTAAGGGACACCTTGCCAGGTGTGCTTGCAGCAGGTGCTGTCACTATTACCCTCTTCAGGGATGCGGCTCACTCCCTGCCCTGCCGTCTTTCACAGAAGCGAGCCATTGATGCAGATTTTATCTGCTTTGGTGTGTTTTTTATTATTCCACATTTTACAGATGTCTCCCTTTTTTCCCCATTGACCCTTCTATCCCACACACACTACCCTCCCCATGCCTTCGCCACTACTGTCTGTGTCCATGGGTTGTGCATATATGCATATAAATTATTTGGTTAATCTCCCCCCCCTCCACCCCCACCTTCCCTCTGAGATCATCAGTCTGATCCATGCTTCCATGTCACTGCTTTGGTTTTTGGTGCACAGTGATGGAAAGCCACAGTGTTCAGGTGAACAAGGAAGACTTGGAGAGGACCTCAGCACTTCTTGGGGTGCGTTATCATTGAGACCTTCATATTGGGACCGCTCTTTTTCGTGACAGGTCGCTCCCCATGGCCTTTCCAGAGCCACTTCCCTTTCTTCCAGACCCATGCTGCCCCGCTTCTCCCCGCTCTGACCCTGGTGCGGGTACCATATAGTTGGCCCTCACTCTCTTCCTTGGGGTGCTTAGGATGTTTTTGATGTCTTTAGTGTGATGCTAGATCCCCTTTCTAGTTATAATAGTACCAGAGAATTAATTCATTCTTTCCCTCTCTCATTTTGGTGAATTTTTTACTGTTTTTGCTTCTTTCAGTTTGTTTCCTAAGGTTTGAGGGAAAGTGATACTATGAGCCTGAGTATTCCACCAGGAGTCAAAATATGTGGGGGTTTTTAATCTTCACCTGAGGATATTTTTTCCATTAGTTTTCAGAGAGAGTGGAAGGGATAGAGAGACAGACAGACTTTGATTGGTTGCCTCCTGCACACGCCCCGACCAGGGTTGGGGATGGAGCCTGCAACCAAGGTACATGCCCTTGGCTGGAGTCAAACGTGGGACCCTTCAGTCTGCAGGCCGATGCTCTAACCACTGAACAACCCAGCTAGGGCTCTATTTTTAATGTCCAAAATATTTATTTTTATTCTTTTTTTTAATATATCTCTATTGATTTCAGAGAGAGGAAAGGAGAGGGAGAGAGAGAGATAGAAACATCAATGATGAGAGTCATTGGTCAGCTGCCTCCTGCACACCTCAGACTGGGGATCGAACCCACAACCCGGGCCTGTGCCCTGACCAGGAGTCGAACCCCGATTGCCTGGATCCTAGGTCGACGCCCAACCGCTGAGCCACGCCTGACCAGGCCATATTTTATGTTTGGTGAGCACATAAAGTCATCGTAAACTGTTTATGAAAATGAATTTATCACATTTACAGTCTCGCCTCAAGGAGCTGGAGCAAGAAGCCCATTTCGTGGCAGGTGAACAATTCCTTGTAACGAGCAGCAATCAGCTTCGAGAGGTGAAGCCCCATCCTGGTTCTTTCTTGAAATATACTTCGTTTTCAATCCTCACTTGAGAATGTTTTTTCCCGTTGCTTTTCAGAGAGAATGTAAGGGGAAGAGAGAGACATTGATGTGAGAGAGACACATCGATGGGTTGCCCCTTGCATGCACCCCGACTGGGGCTGTGATCAAACCTTTATCTGAGGTACCTGCCCTTGGCCAGAATCAAACCCGGGACCCTTCAGTCCACAGGTGGACGCTCTAACCGCTGAGCCAAACCAGCCAGGACTAAAATATACTACTTATTCAGGAGTTAAGGGGAGATGTGTTCTCAGTTTATATATTATCTCATGTTGGTTATCTGAAAAGTATGTAAGTTCGTGTTCTCTCACACTGAGTCATTCCTTCAGAGCCTTTAAGTCCAAGAAAAGTACTAAGCCAGAATTTAAGCGTTTTGCCTTGTAGTCCGTGTGTCTTTGCCCGGTTGCTTAACCCTGTTACAGCGATGCCTGGCTTCTCACGCCTGGGCCCTCTGTTGCATGTAATTCTTCTGTGGAAGATCCTCTTTGGCAAACTGAAGCTGCACCTGCTGAGTCCAGCGGAGACACTTCCCAGGACGGAGCTGCGGGGACACCTGTCCACATCGGAAGCCGTGGTAAGTTCCAAAACCATCCCCTTCTTTAGAAACAATTAGCATGTCAATGCCACGTGTAGTCAGCTCTCAGACCTGCCTGCTTCCTTGGGACGTGCCGGCAGCACAGGCCAGGCCGCACGGATTGGTCCTCACTCCTCCCAAGGCTGTTGCGAACCAAGGAGAAAGGTAGCTGCACCGTTTTCCAGAAGCAGCCCATTGGCCTGATTCCTACAGAGGAGGACAGTTTTGTGGAATTTTGCTCTGAAAACCAAATTCTTGACAGCCCAGTCACGAGCCCCCTGTTTCCAGGCCCCTGCGAGTGACTGGAACGCTGGAACGGGGAAGCTCGTCAGTCTCCCTCTCTCACCACATTCGTCCTGGAAAGCTTTAGCGACCCTTCTCTAGAGAGGAACACTTTTTCTTTACATTTTTAGTTCTTTATTGAATTTATTGGGTGACATTGGATAATAAAATTACATAAGTTTCAGGTGTACAGCTGTATACACATCATCTGCATATTGTACTTACTGTGTGTTCACCAGCCCAAGTCCAGTCTCCTTCCATCGCCCCCTTTTCCCTCTCCTACCTCCCCACCCCCTTCCCTCTGGTGATCACCACACTGCTGTCTGTTTCTGTGAGGTATTGGGGGTTTTTTGCTTAATCCCTTCACTTTTTTCACTCAGACCCCCCAACCTCCCTCCCCTGACAACTGTCAGTCTGTTCTCTGTATCTGTGAGTCTATTTTTTTTTTTTTGTTAGTTTATTTTATTTATTAGAGTCCACATATGAGTGAGATCATATGGTACTTGCCTTTCTCTGACTGGCTTAATTCACTCAGCATGGTAACACCCAGGTCCATCCATGCTGTTGCAGAGGGTAAGGTTTCCTTCTTTTTCACAGCTGCATAGTATTTCATGGTGTAAATGCACCACAGCCTTTTTATCCCCTCAGCTACTGATGGGCACTTGGGCTGTTTCCAGATCTTGGCTATTGTAAATAATGCTGCGATAAACATAGGGGTGCATATATTCTTTCAAACTAGTGTTTTGGGATTCTTAGGATATATTCCTAGAACTGGAGTCGCTGGGTCATAAGGCAGTTCCGTTATTAAAAGACAAGGAGTAGCTCGGTTGGTTAGAATGTCATCCTTGGCCTCCATGTCCTTGGAGCCAGCAGTGGGGAAGCAGGGCCATGGAGTCAGCCACCTGCCCACCTGCACAGCCTGGGCCACAGTACTCAACTGTTTGTGCCTCAGTTTCCTGATCTGTAGAAGGAGGGTTATAATAGTAATCTCCCCACTACAGTCTTGTGAGGATTCTGCAAGTATGTGTGTGTGTGTGTAACAGTATTCAGGACCATGCCTGACATATAGGCTCTCAAAAACCGGTAAGTATTGGCTATTATTATGATCCGCTTCGTCCAAAAACCTAGGAGTCCTCTTTGATTTTCTTTCCGCCTCACCCCACAGCAAGTCTTACAGTCCCTGCCTCATCTTCACTGTCTCCACCCTCCCCTCCCCCTCTTGGAGTCCTCCAGAGCTTCCTGCGCCAGGAGCCTCCCCTCTGCTGCTCTTACGCCTGCAGGTTGTTCATCACATCCAGGCAGAGGTGTCCTGTAAAGCTTTAGAAAAACCATGTCACACCCTGGCTGGCTCGATGGGTTGGAGCATTGTCCCGAACACCTAAGGGTTGCAGGTTCAATTCCTGGTCAGGGCACTTGTGGATGGTTCTCTCTCACGTTGACATTTCTCTCTCTGCCCCCCTCCTTCTCTCTGAAATCAACATATCCTCAGGATAAAAAAAAGAAAGAGGAACCATGTCATTCCCATGACCTGAACTTCCAGTGTCTTTCTGTGACACTTAGAATAAAATCCAAGCTCTCGGGCCTGTCCCCAGGCCCGTGGGTCTGCCCTGCCCCTCCTCTGGCCTCGCTCCTTCTGCGCTCCCGGCACCCTACTGAGCACACCTGCTGCCCTGTTTCTGCACAGCCCTTTCCTCCTCCGGAGACTTCCCACAGGGTCTGCATGCCTGGTGTCACACTGTCAGCTTAGGTACTGCGTTCAGAAACACCTCCTCTGGCCACACAGGCCAGCCAGGCCCCAGCTACAACCCATTTCTTCGCCTTAATTTTTTTTCTGTACACGACTCGCCGTCACCTAAAATTCCCTTCGTGCCTCGTTTGCTTATTTCACTAGGATTCAGGTTTCCCAGAGCAGAAACCTCATCTGACTGGTTCACTACCCCCCAGAACCAGACAGCCTGGAGCTTGCACCTGGTGGGCGGGACCAGTGTCTGCTGTTTGTTTCCGGGCAGCAGGGAGCAGGACCCAGCTTGTGAGACATGGTGTGGGTGTCAGCTCCCTCATGGCCCATAACGGCAGCATGCCCAGTGCTGGCCGTGGTGGTGCCCGGGTAGCCGTGCGTTTCCCCTCTGTCGCACCTGCGCGGGGTCCTGGGCTGATGTATTCTCTGTCCTGGCACCAGCTGGCAGTGTTGCCCTTCCCTTCATTGCTCTTTTGCTTCAAGACAACCAACAAGACAAGAAAGGAAGAGTAACTCTTCCGGTGTTGATGTGCTTTCTTGCAGATAGAATTAAGACAACCACCTTAATTTTTCCCCCACAAAGTCATGATTGGCCTAAGTTATATTAGCCTTACTCTAATTTAACTGGACAAGTCACACTATCCTGTGCATTTAAAAAAGATGAACTTTTACCAGGCAACACATGCACAAGGATCTAAATTCAAAACGAATACTCTTCCTCTCTACTTCCCTTCACCCTCCCTGTAGACTTCAGGTATATGGGTGGCCTGAACAGTTGAAGTAAGGCGCAGTTGTGATCATAGATATGGTTTTATCAGACTACCTTTCAGATCAGTTTTAGGGTCACAGCAAAACTCAGCAGAGGAGTCTCACCCCTTGTCCCCCTCCACAGCCTCCCCCACTATCAACACCCCCCTCCCACTGTCAACACCCCCACAGATGGTATTTTGTTATAACTGATGACCCACCATTGACATGTCATTGTCACCCAGAGTCCACAGTGTGCATTAGGGTCACTCCTGGTGCTGTGCATCCTATGGGTTTCGACAGATGTATATAACATGTATCCATCATTGTGATCTCATACAGAGCAGTTCGCTGCCCTAGAAATCCACCATGTTCTGCCTGTGCATCCCTCCTTCCCTGTAACCCCCTGGGGACCACTGATCTTTTTGCTGTGACCATAGTTTTGTCTTTTCCAGAATGTCATGTAGTTGGAATCCCAGTGTGTAGCCTTCTCAGATCGTCTTCTGTTGCTTAGTAACATGCATTTAAGTTTCCTCCACGTCTCCTCATGGCTTGATGGCTCATTGCTTTTTAGTGCTGAATAATATTCCCATTGTCTGGATGTAACAGCTGATTTTTCCATTCAGTTACTGAGGGACATCTTGGTTGCCTTCAGCGTTTGGCAATTATGAATAAGCTTTTTAAACATCTGTGTACAGGGTTTTGTGTGGACATGTTTTTGTCTCCTTTGGGTAGATAAATAACCGAGTAGCGGGATGGCTGGATCGTGTGGTAAGATGGTATGTTTAGTTTAGTAAGAAACCACCAAACTTCCAAAGTGGCTGCACCATTTCACGCCCCCACCAGCACCCAGTGAGGTTCCTGCTGCTCCAAGTCCCACCAGCACTTGGTGCTGTCAGTGCTCTGGTTCTGGCCACTCTGACAGGTGTGTGGTACGTCTTTAGCTGGTTGGAGCACAGAGAGGCTCACTAGTAGACTGTCACTGTACTTGGGGACTGATGTCTCTGGAGTGCAAGTGATGCAGTGAAGATGGAGCAAAGCAGATGGGTCTTCAGAGCGTTTTTAGGGCAGAAAGAAACTTCTATGAGCCTGAACGAAAGGATGTGGGGTAATTCCTGGTTTTCTTAGTTCTGCACCTGAACAGAGATGAGATGGCCACTACTCAGGGAAACCTGGGAGGGGAATGGTTTATTTCAGGGGCGGGGCGGGTAAAGGGTTCAATCTGGGACATATTAGGACAGGAGTGTTCATGAGACATTGACACTGATGTCGCACCAGCATCAGGTCTGTGAGGACAAGTCGTGTGTTAGAGATGCACACTTGGAGGTGGCCGGCCAATTTTTATTAAAGTCACCTGGGTTGCTGGTCCTCTACCCCGGGGGGAGCTTTAGAAAAACACTCACACCCAGGCCCACGACCGATCCTTGGAGTCATAGCCTGTGGGCCGGGCAGCCTAGTTATGGGCACATGTTTGAAGCTCCCAGCTGATTCTAATAAGCAGCAGCACTGATAACCAGAGAACTGGACTCAGAAACTGCCGGCGAGAAGCCAAAGAGAGAGGAGGTGCCAATGGGCGGCCACAGAGAGAGGGGAGATGAGAAGAGCGTGGAGTCGGGAGCCGGCACGGGGTGTTTGATGAAGTCCGGGAGCAGCAGGTGGCGAGGGCACTCTGCCTGGTCATTAACCAGGCCTGGCCGGCTTTACCCGCTTTCCATGGGATCATACAGTTCATTCTTCTCAGGTGTCCTTGGGCAGCTTGCTCCAGACACACAGGGAGACTGTGGTCAGACGTTATTTTGTGAGGCAGGTATCAGGATAAGCAGAGTCAGCTGATCTTAAGCAGTTTTTTGGCTAAATATTTTCACGCACTTGTATGTCCTGTGGGAACCGCTTTTCTAAGAAAATGGCAGCTCTGGATTATACCGAGTCAGGGCTCCTCCGCGGTGTGCCTGCTCCCAGGCCCATGCTGGCTCTGCTGTCCCCGTTTCTCTGGGTGGCCGAACTCCATCCTTGGTCTTCATGCAAACAGAGTTCTGTGGTTCATACATGACATTAAAGTACAGCGCCAGTTCTCCTCAAGTTAATTTATAGATTAAAAATGATCCTGCCCTGGCCGGTGTGGCTCAGTAGTTGGAGCGTCAGCCTGCAAACCAAAGGGCCTTGGGTTTGATCCCCAGTCTGGGCATGTGCAGGAGGCAACCCATCATTGTGTCCTTTTTTTTTTTTTTTTTTTTTTT